CCGTTGCTACTGTCACAGTCACTACAAAACCCAAAAATATTACTTTTGCTACCATTACCACTACTATCATATTAGTTTGCTACTAAACACTCTACTGCAGATATTAAGTTTCCAGGTGTGGTTGAATTGACAACTCTGCTGCTAATACTTGAGAATATTCTTTGGCTTCCCTTGTGTCGAATCAATAAATTTGGGTTGAATACTCTACCCTCGAAAACTGTTGCAATCCCCTATACTTGTGGGTTATCAATGATATTGGATTATGGAATTGGGATCGTTTGAAATTGGAGTTCCACCAAAAATTTTATCCTATGCATCTAGTTCATCATGATTGGAATTATATATATAATTTTTGGCCTCATGAAGGAGAAAGTATCGCTCTAGCTTGGGGGAGGCTTAGGTCAATGCTATATTCATGCCCCAATCATGAGGTCTCAAGAGAAATTATTATCTAGAATTTCTATGCTCGGCTTTATCGTAATGATCAAACCATGCTTGATACTTCTTGTGCTGGTTCTTTTATGAAGAAGACTATTGAATTCTGGTGGGATCTTTTGGAAAGAATTAAACGCAACTCTGAAGATTGGGAACTCGACGAAGGTAAAGAGTCAGGTATTAAGCTTAAGTATGATTGTGTTAAATCTTTTATGGATACCGAAGCTTTTCAAAAGTTTGGCACTAAATATGGACTTGACTCTGAGATATTAGCATCCTTTTGTGAATCGTTTGCTACTCATGTTGAACTCCCTAAGGAGAAGTGGTTTAAATATTACCCACCTATCAAAGAAGAAATTAAAGAACCAGTACCAGTTAAAGAAGAAACTATACTTTATAATGTTGATCCAGTTGTTCCTTCTGCTTATATTGAGAAACCCCCTTTTCCTGTTAGGATAAAGGAGCATGCTAAAGTTTCAACTGTGGTTAACAAAAGTTATGTTAGAACACCTAAACCTGATGAACAAATTAAAGTAGAACCTAGCATTGCTATGGTTAAAGATCTCTTGGAAGAAGATATGGATGGGCATGTTATTTACTTCTGTGAAGAAGCTGCTAGAATTGCTAAACCTGATGGAAAAGATAAACATAGACCTGTTGTTGGCATGCCTGTTATTTCAGTTAAAATAGGATATCACTGTTATCATGGTTTATGTGATATGGGTGCTAGTGTGAGTGTTATTCCTTACACTCTATATCAAGAAATTATAAAGGACATAGCACCTGCTGAGTTAGAAGACATAGATGTTACTATTAAACTTGCTAATAGAGACACCATATCACCTTGTGGGATTATTAGAGATGTTGAAGTCTTGTGTGGGAAAATAAAATATCCTACTGATTTTCTTGTTCTTGGTACCCCGCAAGATGACTTCTATCCCATTATCTTTGGTAGACCTTTCTTGAACACAGTTAATGCTAAGATAGATTGCAAGAAACAAACTGTGGGTGTTAGCTTTGGTGATGAGTCTCATGAGTTTAATTTTTCAAAGTTTAGTAGAAATCATCATGAAAAAGAATTGCCTAGTAAGGATGAATTAATTGGTCTTGCTTCTATTGCTATCCCACCTACTGATCCTTTAGAACAATATTTGCTAGACCATGAAAATGATTTACATATATGCATGAAAGAAATGAAATAGATAAAGTTTTCTTTGAACAACGTCCCCTGCTTAAACACAATTAGCCTATTGAAACTCTAGGAGATCCTCCTCCACCTAAAGGTGATCGTGTGTTTGAATTAAAACAATTGCCAAACACTTCAAAATATGCTTACCTTGATGAAAAGAAGATATATCCTGTTATTATTAGTGCTAACCTTTCAGAACATGAAGAAGAAAGATTATTGAAAGTTCTAAGGAAGCACCGGGCTGCTATTGGATATACTCTTGATAATTTAAAGGGCATTAGTCCCACTCTATGTCAGCACAAAATTAATATCGAGCCTGATGCTAAACCAGTTGTTGATCACCAATGTCAGTTAAATCCGAAGATGAAAGAGGTGGTAAGAACGGAAATATTAAAACTTCTGAAAGTAGGTATAATTTATCTTATAGCTGATAGTAGATGGGTAAGTCATGTTCATTGTGTCCCTAAGAAAGGAGGTATTACTGTTGTTCCTAATGATAAGAATGAACTCATTTCACAAAGAATTGTTACAGGTTATAGAATGGTAATTGATTTTAGAAAATTAAATAAAGCTACTAGAAAAGATCATTATACGACTCTGCATAGTTACTATCGAGTGCCGAGGGTGATACCTCACAACGCACTCTCGATGATAACTCTGTAGTGTAGCTATTCGGTCGTGGTCAAAGAGGGTGGTTCCTCCTTCACCATTCCCGATACAGTTCTGTCGTGCAACACCTCAAGTGTAAACCTCGAGGGTGGTTCCTCTTACGTTCACCTTGATGATTACATCGAGTAGAATCCACCAAGGGTGATTCCTCGGGTCTTCCTCCTTGATGTTTTGGACACATGGTTACCTTGACTTTACTTGAGACCTTTGTGAAAGTCGGGCAGGCCCGGAGAGCACCCGAGGAGTTACGGTGGTGGCTGGCTGTTTAGCGGTATCAGCCAGGAGGGGGTGGTAGCTCCAACTTGTCCTGACAGCCGTCACTTCTTTTAATAATGCACTAATAGGTCTGGGTATTTGTTCTGAGTTGGCCTTTGGCCTTTACGCACTAATCACCACGCGAGAATAGTTATGGGCCTCGACGTCGCAGTATCAGTCGAAGCTTTGTCAAACGTCCAGTTCAGCATTGTGGGCCTGTTGGGCCAGTGCCATCCAGTATGAGGTGGTGCTCGTCCCGACTCGTCGCACAACGACCCGGAGTGCAACAGGCGATGGGCCCAGACCCCGGAGTGCTTAGGATGTAGACCGGCGGGGACCTCTCTGCTAAGCCTAGGTAGGGCTACGACGTGTTGATCTTTCGAATCCGGGCATTGGCCCAGAAAAGTGTGTCCGACCAGAGTAATCAAGCGTGTTGGAAAACGTGGTGCACCCCTGCGGGGAAGATTATCTATTAATAGTCGCATCCACGGTAACGGACGTTCAGACTTATATCGTGATCTATTATAACTTGAAATGGATACTTGAGATATGTGGCTCCGGGATTACTTTCTCGCAGAGAGTCGAGGAAGTATCTCTGGGCATTAATACTACAACATGCTTGTTAATTATAAACTGCTATTCTATACTCTTCTACATGCTGCAAGATGCTTGGAGCTGCTTGAAGATGCTAGTCTTCGATAGGCTAGGCCTTCCCCTCTATTCTGGCATTCTGCAGTTCAGTCCACAGATATAACCCTTCCATTTGATACCAATGCATACTTAGTATAGATCTGATGCTTGTGAGTACTTTGGATGACTACTCACGGTTGCTTTGCTCCCCTCCCCCTTCTTTCTTCCTTCTGGTTGTTGCAACCAAATGGTGGATCCCAGGAGCCAGATGCCACCCCCGACGACTACTACTACTACCCCAACGGTGCCTACTACTACGTGGAGCCCGCGGACGACCAGGAGTAGTTAGGAGGTCCCAAGCAGGAGGCCTTGCCTCTTCGATCGTTAATGTTTGTGCTAGCCTTCTTAAGGGAAAACTTGTTTAGCTTACTCAGATATTGCTGCTTCCGCTCACTCGCTTATGTATCGAGCTATGTATTCGAGCCCTCGAGGCCCCTGGCTTGTAATATGGAGCTTGTATGACTTTCATTTGTGTTTAGAGTTGTATTGTGATATCTTCCCGTGAGTCTATGATCTTGATCGTACACATTTGCATGTATGATTAGTGTACGATTGAACCGGGGGCGTCACAGACGCGCGGTCTCCAGCCCAGCGCGCTCGGTGGCGAACTTGGCAGCGGCGTTCTTGCCCTTGACGACCGCCCTCCGGTTCCTCCTCTTCGCCGATTCCGCGTCCATCTTTGGGAGCTCCGCCAAAGTGAGTTCCGACCGCGACTTCTTTGGACCCTGGGCCGCCTTCTTCTTCACCTTTCCGGGCGGGTCGACGTCCTGGCCGCCGGAATTCGGCGGGGCGTCGGCCATGGGCGGGGAGGGTGGTGGACGGGACGTGGGAGGGTTTGGGGGGAAATGACGCGAAATGATGCACCGGGCTAGTGCTTTGTGCCACCGACGGGTGGGCCAGGGAAGGACAAGCGCGAGTCCCGTCCATCCGTGCGCTGTCTGTTTCACCTCAAAACCGGCCCAAACTTAAGCCGGGATAGGTCGAAAGCGGACATAAAACAGATAAAACTCCGTTTGCGTCAGCACGCTGGGCCGTTTAGTTTGTATATTTTATCTTAAACGAACGCACCCGGACAGAATGGGGTCGCACGTGGAGTTGGCCTTAGTCGAGGTACTTCCAGCCTAGCGAACGCCTCAAAACCCCTCCTCACCATGATAATCTTATCTAGAGATATGGAAGCTTGTGTTTTGGTCCTAGTCTAACTGGGATTCGAAGGCGACACACCACATACTCATACAATACACCCGGTCTATACATTACACCTGGTCTTTGGTCTCTTTTGGCACCGAAATTCTCGCGTCTTTTAGCGCGGCGTTAGGTGGTAGCGCCTGACGGCGACACTGGGGGCTCCTTTTTCTTTTTGTCCATTGGGCAGACCACCTCCCGCGCCCCGCTCTCGGGGCCTCCAAATGGCGACCCGCCCTGCATTGCGGCCCGCGCACGCACGTAAGCAAAACAAATCCAAGAATGTGCCCCGCCATAGACAATTCCCCTGCGACAAAGCTTTTATAGGCGCCGTAGAGAGCGAGTCCAGTCCAAGGCGGCCATTATTTCTGGATCCTCCCCTGAATCCCAGGTCCCAGGTCCCAGGTCGGTCGTCCTCCCTCCATAGCCACGAGCTACGGCGGCAGCCGGACAAGAGTAGTAGTACCATGAGTGATTGAGCGGGAGCGGAATATATATTCGTAGCGGCCAGAGAGGCAGAGAGAGGGAGAGAGAGAGAACGGTGGTAGCTGGGATACTCGGAGTCGGAATAGGAGAGATGGCTGCCGGGACGCTGCAGATCAGGCCGAGGGCGAAGAGCTTGTGGCTGCTGGTGCGCCGGCTGCTCTGCCGCGGCAACAAGCTGCACAGACCGCCCGCGGGCGCCGGGGACCAGCAGGGAGACGGCTGCGGGGAGAAGAGGAGCCTACTCCTCGGCCGGAGCGGCTCGCTGGAGGAGCTCCTGGGCCCGGACGTCGCCGGCGCCGTCCGCCGCAGCGCCAGGAAGGACCTCGAGGTCCAGCACGCGCTGCTGCCCGAGCGGCAACGGCAGCATCACGCGGACATGGAGTTGGTTCGCCCCGAGGTAACCACGGCGGACGCGCCGCTGGCAGTTAGCGCCGCAGCCGTGCAGCAGTACCGGAGGTTCATGTTCGGCGGGTTCCGGCGGCGGCTCATGATGCGGAGACAGTGGCGGCCGATTCTCGTCGCCATCCCGGAGTGATCCGCCGTCCATCGGTCGTACCGACGTCGTGCTCCGTCCCGTGGAATCCGGCTGCCATGTTCGTGCGGATATGTGGGTGTAGCTTTTCTTTCGTGCTGTCGAGTTGTTCCGGCCCTTGCTTTGTTCGTTTCTTGCTGCCCTCGCAGAGAGGTTGATGCTGCTGCTGTGGTGGTCCATGTAGTAGCGATGTTGGCACATAACTTTCGACATTGTTATTCTTGGAAGCATCTTCAACAAATCTCTGTTCAGCAGCTCATGGAATAAGTTTGGAGAGCGACTATACGACATGGACTGATTTTTGCTTTCGACATTGTTATTCTTGGAAGCATCTTCAACAAATCTCTGCTCAGCAGCTCATGGAATAAGTTTGGAGAGCGACTATACGACATGGACTGATTTTTGTTTTCGAGTTGGGTCACTTTGCTGTCCACCTTCCGATCTTCATCCTAGGGCTCCGCAGCCTTCTTCCTCCTGTTCCATACCTTGCTTCTCCTCCGCATGCGCCGGCGATGGCTCGGCCGTCCCCGTCCCCGCGGACTCGCCGGGGACGCCACGGCCGGCCGCGTCTGTACGTGCCTCATCTGTATAAGTTTTGCACGTTTGTACTGTGAGCAAATCACAAGTAGTGCATCAGCTAGCAGTGTTGGCAGGCCAACGGTAGTGTGATGTGCAGCTCGGCCTTTGATAAAGGAGAAAAGAAATCCGGTGATTCGCCTTGGCTTTTGATGGGCTCGAGCGATTTCATTTCAAACCGCAGATTTCATAAACGATGTGACTTGCTTGGCTCCTTCATTCGCAACCTCTGCCTATAGTTCCTCGTGCTTTAAAGCTACCACACCAAAAAGTTTGCCATCGGCTTTTTTTTTGAGGGGTTGTTTGCCATCGGCTATGCTTTAGCACGAGAACGGACGAACAAGGGTAACGTCTGTTTGGATTTGGTTCCGAAATTGCTTTCGGCGTGAGACGATTACGATTTCGGACGATTGGCCGAAGTAGCCCTAGACATGGACCTCCCGTTCCTTCTAGGGCTAGACATGGACTTCTCTGGCTCGCTTGTTCGGTTTGCTTACATTTGTGGCTAACGATAATTTTAGAGTACTCTAGCCACAAATGTGGTGGTTTTCAACAATTTACTCCTTTAGAGCCACCAGCAGGCGCGGCCCGTGAAGCTCAATACGCTTGCTTTTCTTTGGCCAGCTTGTTTGGTTATGTGCCTCCGTTCTATTGTTAGCTTACGAAAAAGACCGTTTACCATCCTTTTTGTGGTTCTAAAAAATCTTAAGGAATAAAAAAAGTTCATGGATTTACAAAAAAAATCTTGTATTAAAAAAATGTGCATGAATTTTTAATACATTCCTACAGTTTAAAACAAATTGTGAATTTGAAAATAATGTTTGCCCATTTAAAAAGTGATAGTGAATTTTACGAAACGTTCATGAATTTGAGAAAATGCTTGAAAATATAAAGTTTCTTGACTTTTGAAATAATTCCATGGATTTTAAAAAAAATCCGCACGCGTTTTCGGCCTTTTAAACGTTTTTTTTATATTTTGGTTTTTCATCGTTCTTCCTTAGCTTTTGGACCAAAATCAATTTTGCGTGAAAAACACATTTTTTTTGCTTCCGCAAGAGGCGCGGTTTTGCTTTTGCAAGGGGCACAGCCATGCCTCTCGGAAACAAAGAAAAAATGTGTATTCTATTTCTCCACGAGAGGCGCGGTTTTGCTTTCGCGAGAGGCACGACCGTGCCTCTCGCAAAAGGCAAAAAACACGTTTTTTTGTTTCTCTTCCTTTCGCGAGAGGCACGATTTTACTTCCACGAGAGGCAGGGTTGTGCTTTCGTAAAAGGCGCGGCCGTGCCTCTTGGAAAGGGAAAACACGTTTTCTATTTTTTTTCCTTTCGCGAGAGACACAATTTTATTTCCGCGAGAGGCACGGGTCTGCTTTCGTGAGAGACACGGCCGTGCCCCTCGGAAATGAAAAAAAAAAGATGTGTTTTTTGTTTTTTTAATTCCACGAGAGGCACGGTTGTGATTCCGCGACAGGCACGACCGTGCCTATTTTGTAAAGGGGAAAAACCTTGCTCCGATTCGGTTTTTTCATGAAAAAAAAGTTCGTCAAACCCTATCAACATGGGATCTAGTTTTCAAGATCTCGACGCGAAAAATTCAACAGTGAAAATGGTTCGAGATTTGGACGCACAGTTTAAGAGATAAAATAGTTTAAATAAACGGATCTATAAAAAAAAGAAAAACTTTCAGGTTGCGACAAGTGGTCACAACCTATGGAGGTGTGAGTGATCTTTGAAAGGAGTACTCCTTAATTAGTGACTTCGCTATGTCTCCCAGCAGCAAGAGGGGTAGGAACCTCGCTGAAGGGAAGACCGAGCTGGCCGACCCACGAGCGCGGGAGGCAGCAGCCTCCTTTTTTTACGTTTTCTGTTTTGGTATTTTGCTTTATTTTTCAATTTGTTTACCCTGTAAAATATACTACATAGATTACAAAAGACACTCTATGAAAACATTTGAAAAATGTTGACCAAGCATTTGAAAAATGTTAAATGCGTATAGAAAAAAAGTTTATCATGTGTGCTAAATGTGTATAAAGCATTTAAATGCGTACAAAAGAATGTGAATAAAAAATTTGGTCATGTATTAAAAAAATGTGAATCAAGCATTTAATTTTTTAACAAGTATTAGAAAAATGTTGATAAAGCATTTAAAAATATTAAATGTGTATAAAAAAATTTGGCCATGTATTAAAAATGAAGAATTTTATTGATTGTGTATCAGGGTGGACGACACGAGCGGGCTTTTTGGCCCGCTCGTGGCCCGCTCGGTCTTGCCCAGCTCGGTCCTGGCCCGTTCAAAAAAATAGCCGGTCCGGTCTGCAAAATATGGACCGAAAAATGTTCGGTCCGGTCCGGTTAAAGCCCGGTCCGCTCGGTCGGACCGAAGAAGACCGAGAGAAAATAAGGATATCTCATAATCACGGCGCTATCCCGCCATAATCTGTCGCTACATCTATGGAAATAACTGCCTACAGGATTCTTGAACCGATTCTCCCCTGATTTTGCATGCTCGTTCCGTAAAAGGTAGTTATCCTAGCACGGTCGAGTCAATCCCACGACTAACTCCACGCTGCTCTTTCCTTTTATTCGCAACTAACGAGAGAAACATGTTTAGTCCGAGAATCACGGAGCCATCCCACAATTAACTCCACGTCCAATTTGACCCACTCATCACGGCATAGGTGTAGACGAATATTCGTGGGCTCATGCACGTGATAGATTGCTTGCATGCAACCAAGAAAGTTGCTAAGTAATAAACGTGCGCAGGTTCATGGCTAACAGCACTTTCCACGGCACGTTCTCTACCCGTCGCCCCTGCTCTCACGCACGTCTTCCACCTCGCCACAGCACCACCCTCTCCCTCGCGCCTCTCTCTCATCTGCGCGGCCGCGCCGCCCTCTCCCTCGCTCCCAATCCCTCATGTGCTACGCCGCCGCTCCCTCGGGCGGCGGCTCCCCCTCTCCTTCGCGCGGCTGCGCCGCTCCCTCTCTCCCCCGTGCCTGTTCCTCGCCCAGCAGGTGCGTCTTCTCCTGCTCCGGCCACCGTGCTTCATCTCCGACCACCTCTCCGACATCCTGGGCCCACATGGCAGTGACTCGACATCACCGAGACCGTGAGGACCGTCGGTCCGCACCGAGCTTCACGTCTGCCGGTCCGGTCCCTGAAATCGGGACCGCTGCAATGCTCGGTCCGGTCCGGACCGGACCGCCGGCGGCCGGTCCAAACGACGGCTCGGACCGGGACCGGACCGGCCCGGACCGTGTCCACCCTGAATTGTGTATATAAAAATATTAATCAAACATTTGAAAAAATGTTGATAAGTATTTAAAAATGTTAAATGTGTATAGAAAAATGTTGACCATGTATTAAAAATTCATGAAATTTTATATCATGTATATAAAAATGTTATTCAAGCATCTGAAAAAGGTTGAATAGTTATTTGTTAAATGTTGATCAAGTATTTGAAAATAATTTAAATGTATATAGAAAAAAATGACCATTTATTCAAAAATGTTAATATTGCATTTATAAAAATGTTAATCAAGCATTTGATTTTTTATTTATGTATAAAAATCTAACCATGTATTAATAAAATTAAATTTGTATTGGAAAAATGTTATACGTATATTAGAAAATTTGTGTTTACATATACGAAAAATATGGAAATGAAAAACAAAAGAAAGAAAGATAACCCAAAAATGAAAACTAAAAAAATGAAAAAAGAAAACCTAAGAAACAAATGGAAGAAGAATGAAAAATAGAGAAAAAATGAAAAATTAAATAGACATAAATAAATAAAGACCATGAAAGAAAGAAAAGAAAAGAAAAGAAAAGAAAACTTGTAAAACGGAGAAAGAAAGGAACAAAACCCAATGAAAACAAGAAAAATCACAAAAACACTAAAAACTTGTGGAAATTCGGCTTTGTTTACATCAATTAGTTCGTGCAAACTGGAAATGTGCAATGGCTTACTGGCTAGAAGCGCAAACAAGTAACAAGGATGTATATGTGCGCTAATGGCATTTCCTATTCGGTCCTTAAGGCACCTGTTTCTTGTATACTCGCAAACAACGCACACCTCCCTGGGCCGGCCCATCTATGATTTGTTTTCCCTGTAAAACCGTTCAAGATAAAATGTGCGTGATGTGATTCGAACTCCGCAATCGGAGGGTGGCTTCAAGAGAGAATATCAACTAGAAAACCTTTCAGTTGTGCTTAGTAACATTCTTTATTGTTGAAATGCAATACTAATCAACATGAACCTAGTTTGTTTCTTTGGCTCGTTTTGCTCTTTTTTTCATTTTCATTTAGAAAATTTGTGAACATTTTCTTAAGTTCATGAACTTTGTTTTCAAAACCGTGAACTCTTTTCAAATCAATGAGCTTTTTTCAATTTTTGGATCTTTTTTCCAAAATCGATGAACTATTTTT